TCTCTCTCTCTCTCTCTCTCTCTCTCTCTCCTCTCATATAAAATCACAGCTTACTATTGATATCTGTCGGTGTATAATCAAAAACGGAAATAGAATGGGCCTAGAATTTGCTGCACACAACATAGACACACAAAGAACAATTGGTAACAGTGTGAGAGTTTTAGTCACAGGTGGACATTTGGTGATGCATGACGATTTCAGTCATTGATGAAAGGGGCGAGCTCATATGGTCGCTTTTAAGCACAAGGGGGCTATCCCGAAAAAGGCTGTTTTAAGAAAATCGAAGGTAAATTTTTTGCCCCTTGTTCAGTTTCTTTAAAAGACAAGGAGAGTTTTCTCTATAACCAAACAAATATACACACCAATGAAACCAAACTTCTCCTATAGGTAGGTAGGGTAATGCCCACTTTTGGTGTAGGTCAAGATTTCTGGAAACCCCCGAAATCTGGGTTAGCTCGCCTGTCCTTAAAAGCGACCAAATGAAAAGACAACTGCTGATAGAAGTAAGGGATCAAGTACAGACAGATTGTTTTTGTGTTTGTGTATATTGTTTGTTTGTTTTTTGTTGTTATAGTTGTTGTTGTTGTTGTTTTTGTTGTTGTTGTTGTTGTTTTTGCTTAAGTTATTCCGCTTTGTAATTACTGGTTTTCATGGATGCCCATCCAGACCTGCGTTGAATGCTCTCGTGGCCTAGAGATTAAGGTGTTCGCGTCTTATTCAATAGATCCCGAGTTAGAATCCGGGTAGCGATGGAAAATTTTCTTCTTTACATTGTCTTTTTTCACCTCCTTTCTTGCTCTTAAGCAATGTTTTTTTTCGTCTACTTTCGTCTCCACTTTCTACCACCACCCCGCCCCCTCCTCTGGGCTCCTGACTCTCTCTGCAGCCTTTCTACTGCTACTCCTTGGCTCCTTCTTACTCTTGTCTTTCAGCCACACCCCTGATCTTATGGTAGGAAAGATCTACTCCTAGCCTTCTCGGACAAGTAAAAATCTCGGAGGTCCCGTGTGCAATTTGCGTACCTTAAAGATCCCTTGGTGGTCCAAAAGCTATAAGAGTAGGTTGCAGCCGCCACCTGGGTAAAATTCAAAATTTTCTACCAACTGAAAATGTTTGGTGTGTCCCGCGCGCTCTGACTACCATTAATCTGAACCCACCTCCTCTCTCTCCCACCCCCTCTCTCTCTCTCCCACCCCATCACCACCCACCCACGGGTTCCGTTGAGTGTTAGTGCAATGCGCGTGGTCTCTTACATTATCTGTCATGTGCACATGACATGGGGTGAGAGGTCCAAGCTATACCAGAGATAGAGAGATAAGACTGGATGATAAGGAGTCACATGCTCTGCTGTCTAATAGTGAATTTTTAAAAAACACTGGAATAGAAGATTACACTCATGCCTAGTCAGTCTCTCTAAAGGTTTTTCCTAAAAGAAACTACTGCAACTCACAGGATAGAAAGTAAAGAATGAGTTCTTTGTGATTTATATCATGTACTTCTTTCCTTTTTAAACCTCAAAGAAAAATCTTGTTTACTATTTGAGCGTCAGTTGTAAGACCTTCCTGTTTTAAAACTATTTTTAGTGTGGAAAAAGGTTACAAATCTTGATGTATTTTTATTTTGTTGCCTGGGACTGGGACCTGAATCTTTACAAATTATATGTATGATTATCAATTTTCTTATTCCAAAATACATTGTGCTATATCTTTCAACATCATATTGGTAATAACAAAGTATTGTAATTTCAATACCTGTAAATTATTTATCAACTTGAGGGTGATTTGGTAAGTCTGTCAAAATGTTAGGTGGGCCTGATCTCACCAAATTTAATGCAGGTGCAGAGATGTTAATCATGTAATGATATCTTCTCTTTACCTGATCAAAGTGTCTGCAGGAGAGAAGTAGCAAATAGTGTTAGTAGAAATGGAAGTCATGCTTTTCAAATTCCTTTAATGGACACTGGAGGTGATATGGGACCATGGATATGCCTTTGTTGGGGTCAAGCCCAGTCAACAGCACTAAAGCCATTTCAGATTTTAAAGTCCTCTGGTGTTTTTTTATTTTAAGCAACTAATCTAGTCAGTCCAGGGGTGATTTCAGTTTTTCGAAATAGAGTGAGTGAATGCAGTACCCTGTCTGCTGGGATATGCATGTACCTCCTGTCTCTTAACATCTTTTCTCATTGTCAGCTTTCAGTTTGTTACTTCTGTTGCTTGCGGTGTCTGCGGTGTAGCATTCAGATGCCTCGCTGTCGCACACAGTGTAAACCTGAGTTTTGATTCCTGAGTGGGGAGAATTCTTACGGAGTGTGTGTGTGTGGGGGGGGGGGAGGAGGGGTGGAGCTAATTATGGTCTCATTGGGGGGGGGGGAGTTGGTGTTGACTCTGAGTCGGGGAGAAGGGGAAGGGGGTGTGACAGTGACTTTGTCTCCACTACGTACTTCCTGTCTGTCTGTCATGACGAGTGGTGAGTGCTCTGGTGTTGTGTGCCAAGATGCTGTATGCTTCGCAGCTTGGGTTGGCCCTGGCAGGCAGTATCGGAAGCCCACCTCCTAAATTAATTACCTAAATTGTGTCGATGGAGGTGTAAAATCATCCACATTTTAACAAAAAAACTTTCATTGCAGTACTTTGATTACAAGTTCCGCAACACCAGCTTGCCGAGCAATGTGTCCTTCGACGGCAAAGGGCACACCACGGACATGCAGGTGGTGTTTGAGAGCTACCTCTCAATCGTGTCCAACGGCTCCAACCTGTTGTTCATGATCATTACCTTGCTGCTGGTGAGGAGGTATGTGCTGATCACCCTCAGTAGGATCAACTTTATATTCTTCTTTATCTGTTTCGTGTCTTCCTCTTCCTTCTCCTTCCCCAGCTTGAGTTCAGGAGAAGTGAATATTGTATAGAGGGTCTGCAGCCCACAGTTCTACTGATTTGAGCATCAGACATAGCCTCTTTTATTACAAGGATGTTGTGCCTCTTGCCTTTCTTACAGTTGTAAGCTATTTTAAAAAGTAGTTTATTTATTAAAACTTATGTTTTTTTTATCTTGCTAAATAATTTATTGATTCTTTGACAGTTTCGTGAATGAAATACATTATTTTTCTTTCAAATAAAGAATGCATTGAATGTTTTCTCACAGATTCATATTTTGACCAACCATTAGACAAATATTACTTTTTTGCTTAGACAAATATTACTTTTTTGCTTAGACAAATGATATTACTTTTTTGCTTAGACAAATATTACTTTTTTGCTTATGACATAGTGAAACATTTAATTTTTTACTGAAGGCATTATACATTTACATGCATTTGTTTTGATCCAGAAGAAAGCAATCCTTTACTGTTTCTTTTCATCCTGTACCCCCCACAGCATCTCTGTGAAAGTTCGAATTGTGGTGTCTACTGTGCTGATGATTACCATATTTGTCATTACAACATCACTGGTGGAGGTCGACACAGACTCTTGTGAGTACCATAAAGGTCTTACTATATATCGACAGCTCAGAGTAAGACTTGTCATACGTCACTTTTCAAATTGGTGTAGGGTGGAGTCTTACGGTTTATCTGTGCTCATCACTCGTGTAGAGAACATAATAATGACTTTCCTGCTTTATTGTTTTATTTGGATTGGGATTTGGAGATTGTATGCTTTTTAAAAAAAATAAAACTATAATTTGTCTGTCTGTATTTCAGAATAATTAGATACTTATATCAAAGGCTGAACTAACAGCAAAATCTAAAATCTATAAGCAAGATTGTTGGCAGATCAGTAGAAAAAGAAAAAGAAAAAGTGGAAATTTGATTGCAGTGAAGCATTGATTAGAAAAGAATTTCATCTCAAGTTAGTATTAAAGTATCTTTTTTGTGAGTTGTCTTTATTTTACTTTAGTCCTTCTTTTTCCTTATCCCACTCTGAAACACAATACAAAGTCTGCCCACTCAATGGGGATGTAAATGTTTATAATAAATCTATAAATACCAAAAAAAAAGATGACCATTCCTAAGGAGAGAAAAGATACACTCACTCCCAACTCACCTTCTCTCTTCACAGGGCAACAAGTGTTCTTCATCATTACTCTGGTCATGGCCGCCTTCATGAGTGGTAAGATGTTGTATAGAACAGGAGTTGTCCTAGCCATGGCTAGAGGGATGGGTTTTGTCTTCAACGCATTAGTTTATAGTGTTGTGTATAAATTTCAACTTTACCACAGCTAAAGGGATGGGTTTTGTCTTCAGAGTATCAGTTTATAGTCTTGTGTTTATATACATTTCAACTTTACCACAGCCAGAGGGATATGTTTTGTCTTCAAGTACAGTCGAACCTGTCTAAGATGGCCACCCATTGTCAAGGAGAAAGGTGGCCGTTTTAAGACAGGTGGCCGTCTTTGGCAGGAGTGATCAAGATGAAGAAAACAAACCATTCCTTTCTGAGGTCTCAACCAAAGGTAGCCGCATTGTTGTAATTGTTGTTGTTGTTGTTGTTGGTTTCCCGGGGGGGGGGGTTCTTGGGGTTTTTTTTCTTTTGTTGCTGCTTTTGTTCAAGGGTGACAACAAAATGAAATGTGTGAAACAAGGAGGACCGAGTGCTAGGGTATAACAAACACATTGGTCGCCACCACTTGGAGAACGAGTGACGCTCCTGTCACAATTTCATGTTGACGTCCATTGTTACTTTGTTACAGTCTGGGTAAACAGTGACCACTCATCTCACTTACGATTTGTGTATGAGTTCTGGACGGGGTTTATGGGTTTTGAGGGATCACACGCTTACCTCACCAGCAGCTGAAAATTTGTTACCTATTAGTCAACAGTGGGAGGGGCCTACGCAACATGATCGGTTGGAGGGACTACCTAACAACAACAATAGGTGATTGGATTATGACGACATGTACACAACACCAGGGGCCATTGCATGATTTATGAAAAAACGTAATGGAGTCACTAAGGTGGCCGTCAAAGACAGGTGTTATTGCTTGGTGGGATAGGGTGGCCGCGGCCGCGTTGGACAGGTGCCCGTTTTACACAGTTAAATAGAAAAAACGCAAGGGGGGGGAATGGAAAGTGGCCGTTTGTACAGGTGGCCGTCTTATAGAGGTGGCCATTAGGGCAGGTTCGACTATATTAGTTTATAGTCTTGTATATACATTTCAACTAAAGGCTCACACGGTGTGATATTAACGCCTTTGGTCAGCATGTACAATGCTGAAACCTAGAGAAGCCCGCAAGCTGTGCACATCCACAAGTGGAATTGGAGCCTTTCAATGTTCAAAATGTGGCACACTTTTCTCTGCCAGAATTAGTCTCATTGGCCACAGCAGAAGCCACACATCATAGTAACCTTTAATTCTTCAAATTCTTTTATTTTGCTGGAGAAATGTTCTCCTCTACCGATGTATTGGTCATCGTCAGATATTGAGCTATTATTATTACAGTCCATGCCAGCTTTAAGCACAGTCATCGGGAGAAAGCTTAAGCGTGCTTAATGCCGAAGCGTGCTTGAGTGCGAAGTAGACATAATCCAGAGATTTTCATGTAGAAAATTTCCTGTTCTATTTCCCTTTGTTTGTAAGTAGGCCTATAGCGGTCTCGCAAAAGTGTTCACTGTTATTTACACCCGCCTTGGTAGTTTTTGTTTGCTTGTTTGTTTTTATTTTGTGGTCGAATGGGAAATGAAAACTTGATTTAGACGGCCAGTCACAATACAGCACACTAGGCCTACACACTAAACACTGCCTGTGTGTACCACTGCCCGCTGTGCCACATTCATACCACCGCCTTCATCCCACCTCGCGCGTGATACTCATCAGGATTAATGGATAGCGAGGGTCAAAGGTGAAATTGCAGCCAGCCTCCCTTTCTCTTCTCCCCGACTCTCTTTGTAATTTTTTTGTCATGTGTAGCTTTGCCCTAGGCTAGATCCTATGTCCACGCGCGCGGCTGTGTGCATCTCTCTGCCTTCCTCTCTCCACGCGTGTGTGTCTCTATCACTTGCGCTCTTTGTGTTTCTCTTAACACACCCACTGCTGCGGTGTAGACTGTGTTCGAACTTCGATGGGTCATCATGAAAATATTGACTGTCTTGAAAATGAAGCGTGCCTGAAGCCAAAGTGACCGTGCTTAAAGGCGTTTAATTTATATAGCAAAAATTCGGTAAGAGCCATTTAGCGTGCTTGAGTCCGAAACGTGCTTTATGCCGGCGTGTTTAAAGCTGGCACAGACTGTATTATTTATTACAATTTAATGTACTGTTGCAGTCCCACAGGGACATGCTTGCTGTGCGGCAGCCTGTGAAGAGCTCTAATGCTCTCATGTACAGATTCTATCTCTGCTGATTCACAGCTGGGCCAGCTGGTGGTGATTAGACTAACAACCTTTTCATAACAAATCCAATTTTTTAGATATTATTACTCTTATGCCCATCAGCCTGATATATGACGTGTCAGTATGTTGCAGAAGCACAAAGTTTGTGGAAAGGTATGGTCCCAGCTTTAAAAGTTCAATTCAGGCTGGGAATATATAGTCAAAGTATTTTTTTTTTTTTTTTTTTTTGAAAAGTTAATCTAAAAAATATTAATGGTATTGTTTTACTGGCTTTAATTCAGTAGCCTTCTTTTGAAAAGGTTGGGGTTTTTTTGTTTATTTTTTTAAAAAATGAATTTCTAAGGGATAGATAGTGCATCTACACACTATCATTTATCCAAGCATATTGTATATATATTGTCTGCGCTCCATTGGTACCGGGCCAATTCAAATTTTAAAGTTTAAATGAAAAGACTAAAAAATGGTCTAACAATGTTAATGGTCACACTTAGGCAATCCGATGACAAAATCCTTCAATGAAGTTTGTTTGACCTGAGCGCATTAATGGTTAAGCAATCGAAATTAATGACAAAACTTTCTTTGGTTAGAGAGGTTCTCCGTTTCAAACATTGCACCTAACTAAGGTGTGAGTAAGGTAAGAACAGCACATGTGGCTTTTGGCTGCTTTGCTAACCTTTCTATCTTTTGTTTGTCTTTAAATGCACACTGTTTAGCATGTTATGAGTCATTTTATGATGTCCCGGTGGCTGGCCTGTGAGCTTGTCCCTCAACTCATTAAGTGAAGTTGAAAGGTTGATAAAATAAGTGATCATGAGGAGAAAGATAGCGAGTTTCACTGTCCCACAGCGCTTGACCGGTACGCTCTTATAACCTCGCTAGCACAATAGAGAGGTTCACAGAATCAAACATGGATAGTGAGGTTTTTGCAGAATGGAAAGTACGCTTTCTAACATTTGTTGTTTGAATCTAGGTTTAATATTTATGCACACCGTCAAAAAGGTATCAGGAATCTTTTGTTGCAAAAAAAAAATGATTTTCACCTAAGTTTGAGTTAATGAGGTTTAATCAGAGCGCGGATGATATATATGCAATTTTATTCATCAGAAAAAGATTATTATTGAGTGTTTGTTTGCTAGCAGTATGTGTCCAATGAAAGTTTCCTGTGTGTGTCAGTGCTGACGATCAGATATTATTTGTTCCAGGTGTCCAGTCTGTGTTGACCGGATCAGTGCTGGGCCTGTCTGCCCTCTTCCCTGCCATATACTCTCAGTCGGCTATGATAGGACAGGTAATGTCGTGAGTTTGACAGTGTGAGGGAGTATGTGATGAAATGAGAGAGAGAGAGAGATTTAATTTATCTTGAAGACTTTTTGCCCATACATCCACACATTATAACAAATGACTCGGCATATATATATACGTAAATTGGTACAGCACATTTGATTGACAAATAAACTGAGTGAGACAATAGTATGAAAGAGAGAGAAGGAGAGGGAAAGGGTGCGGGGAGGGAGAGTGAGGTTCTTGGGGCTGTTTACAGTGAAAGAACTGAGGAGGTTGATGGAATTGTGTCTGATGACAGAATATTAGGAGGATGTCTGGGCTGTGCGAGTTGTTACAGAAAAAAATGATGATAGAATTTATTCTCCATTGCGAGAAATACTTGTCCTTTGTTTGTAACGAAAATCTTCCCATCATTTCGCAACAGACACTAGTAGCAAGAGAATAATCAGGTATGCAGTTTTTACACTTTTTTCTCCGTTATTGTTACTGAAATCCATTTTCAAATCCGCAAGAGAAGTTATTATTCTCAGCATTTGTGTTCTATTTGACCCCATATTCGTTGTGTCAATTATTAACTGTCTTTTTGTTTGCTAATGCAACTTAATAAATTTTCAGTTATGTTCACAAAACCCAGTAGAATCCCTGAATAATATTATAAGATAGCACTGGCTTAGTGTAGCAGTGTAGCTTCCCCTTTCTGTCGTTTCATGCTCTTAGTTAGGCGGAAGGGCTAGAACCCAGATGGCCGCTGGATCGGAAAAGTCGTTTCATACTCTTGAACTTTTTGCACTTTATTTTGTTTCAGGCTGCTGGTGGCACCTTCTCTGCGGTGGTCAGCATCTTGACCCATGCCACGGGCGGTGACCCCATCACCAGCGCTCTCATCTACTTCCTCATAGCCTCAGTGGTGACAGGTCTCGCGTTGGTAGCCTACCTGTCCTTATATGCCCAGGTGAGTCGTTGCCTCTGGGGAGGTGAGAGGGGTGCTGGGAGGGGATTGGGGGGAGGGGGGGGGAGATGGGGGGAATGACAGTTTGTTATGGTTTCATGTGGGAAGGAAGGGGGTGGGGGGATTTAAGCTGGTTTAAGGATCTCATGTGGGGAAGTGGGAGGAATGTAACTGGTTACGGATCTCATATGGGAAGAGGGGGGAGGGGGGCTTGATATGGTCTCATTTGTGGGGGGCACGTGGTGTTTACTTTGCGAGGAGAGGGGGGGGGGGATGATGTTTTACAATGGTTTCAGGTCTCGATCTCGTGTGGGAAGGATGGGGGGGGGGGGGGATGGTGTTTACTATGAAAGGCCTTCCAGTCGTGGGATGGACGCCTTCGAGTTTTTCATTATTATTAAATTTGAATTTTTTTGTTTTGTTTCAGAAATTTTCCAGATTCTACATGATTGACCAAGGTAAGTTTGGGAAAATTTAGCTCCAGTAGACCGATTCCCTGCTTAATTTTTTCTTTTTTTCTTTTTTATATGGTTAATTGTCTCATCATTATTTGTGCCTCAGAGCACCATGTTCATCTCATTTGGTTAATTTTTTTTCTTAACATGAACACCTCTGGGTGATTGACGGGTGCTCTTGTGTAGGTTTCTCCTTCTATCTTTTCAAATTTTTATCGTCCTTATCTTTCCTCCTCCTTTTTTGTGTTTGTTACTTGTAACGCCTCTAATTTTCGGCACCTATATAACGTAATTGTGTTGCAAGTGCCATGAAACACTTACTAAACCTGAACACTTGTGAATATAACTTCTAAGTCAACAATTGCAGTTAGAACTGTTTATTTTGACTTCTTAAGGTATGTGTAACCTCAATGAAATTCATCAGGACCAGTGTTCTCTTCATTAAAAGACACTTTTTGTTTGCCTTGCAGTATATATAGCTAGCAAAATCAACGAAGATATACCATCTTACCATGACATTGTTGGGAGGAAAGAATATCTTGGTGCAATTCTTAAAAAGGTGAGTTCAGCACTTGCTGTTTTTCATCCTGTAAGTAAGTAAGTTTATTCTGTGTTTAAGGCCATTGACCAACATCACATCACGTAAAACACTAGTTTGTTAAATAAAGTTTCTGTAATAAAAAGGTACAGGTTGTGCACATATCTCTTATCATGGGTCTAATATTGTCTTTTTCTGTCACTGGGGCGAGTCAGACTGGGAGGAATTAGATCTAACAATTTCCTTTAATGGACAAAATTTGGAAAATAAAGAATTAAGTTAACTTCATCTTCAATTTCATGAGAGTTACACCTCTCACATACATGACATAGATTCTATTGATGGGAGCATGAAACATTTACAGTCAGTCATTTCTCATACTGAGGTTTGTAGAATATAACTTATTTCTCATACTGAAATTTGTAGAATATAACACTTTCAAAAGGTTCATAGGTGGTTGGTGGGTACTGTAGTATGGTTTGCTCCTTCTTTCGTATCAAACATCTATCGTCCTTATCGCTCCTCTTTCCTTGTGTCTCTCTTGTAACACTTCTTATCTTCAGCACTTATATGACTTTATTTTATTGAAAGTGCTGTAAAACTCTTACTAAAACTGGAGCCAAATTAGTGAGGAAATGGCTTCTAAAATTTAGTGACTTCCAGAGATTGAGTGTTCTTGGAAATTTCATTTGTTGTTGTTTTTTTGTGTGCCTTTGACAGTGTCCTTCAGTAGAATTCATTCCGAAATGTTTATTTGAATGGACATTATAGGTGTTGCAAAAATAAAATTAAAAAATTTGATATAAATTTCCCAATGGCATTTATTGTTAAATATGTATACATAATGTATATATATGCATATACACACACCCATATATATATATATTATGCCATTATCTGTCACTTGATTGATTGCAGACTCAATTTGTCTTTGCTAGAGGTCAAGTTCATTTTATCCATGTAAGGTCTAAACTATACTTTTCATCTCTCATTGTATATTTCCTCACAACTGACTTTGTTTTGAACTGTGTGTATTCCCCAATTTCCCCAGACGTGGATGTACTGTGTCAGTATTTGCCTCGTGTTTATGGTGACACTGTCTGTGTTTCCTGCCGTGTGTTCTCTTATAAAGTCATACAGTCATGAGGGCAATGCATGGACAGGTAGGAGTTTTTGACTCTACGATTTGCCCCCTTTCTTTGGGTGTGTTTGGTTGTGTCTCTGGATTCATGTTCTGTTTTTGGTGAATGTTTGGGAGAGATGATTTATTTTTGGGTACGCTGGGGTGGTTGGTGGGTGCTCTGTTGTGGTTTGTTCTTTCTGTCCTATCACACATCTGTCATCCCGATCTCTCCTCCTTCTTTTCTGTGTTACTCACTTGTACCAGCTCAAATCTTTGGCACTTATATACCTTATTGTGCAGCAAGTGCAGCAACACTCTTACGAAAAAAAAAAAAAGACTTTTTGTTTTGTTCGTTTTATTTTAGTCATCGCAGTTATGTTAAATTGCATTTGCTGCACTTGTTGCAAGTTATGGTTTAGTTTTGGGGGTGTTTAACCCTTAAAACCCTAATTTCTTTTTTTTCATACCTCCCTAGAATCCTGAATTAAAATTGAGATATTAGAAAAAAATTAGGTTGGTTCATTGTTTTATTTACTGTGTTTTTAATTGTTGTTAGATTTTACTGAAGTTTGAAAAAGTTATTTATATATGAATGCACAGTCTGGACAAAAGGGGAAAAGGTAAAACACTGGTTCTAGGACCAAGTCTATGAGTTAAGTCTTGTGTGTGATCCCTTTACCACTTCAGTCAAAGCATCATTAGACCCAGCCATAGATCTAGCCTCTGATAGCTCTAGTGGTGATCCCCTGTCACTTCCACTATCGTCAAAATCATCATCGATGTTATGCGGAACATTACAATCGTCTTCAACGGTCATATTTATCAATATATCCGACTGGGAGATCATTATTGGGGTTTGGTTCAGAATCAAAAATGTCCAAAATTTTGCGGCCTGAAGGGCCTGGCAGCGAAAAGTGACTAATTTTTCTTTAAAACTTGCAGAATTTCCTAACTTTCAGTGTAGAACTGCTCTCATGACATTATCGGTACTTTCTGCTTGCAACAAAGTCATCTGGAGTTACATTCCCTGTTTCTAGCCCTGGGAATTAAACGATAAAGTTAACCAGCGGTTACCAGCGGTATAAGAAAATACGGCGTCAGTGGTTACCTGTGGTTTAAGGTTTTAAGGGTTACAGTCCCTTTCAAAAACTTTTGAAGAGGGCACAAGTCTAGGGATTCTTTTTAAACCGTGGGCTCTATGAACTTTTCCACCCACCCAGGTGTAGGGGGGTGCAAGATGTCTGTCCTTCGTCTGCCACTTACGGATCACTTTCAGTGTTTTGGGGTACTTTATCTCTCTAAGAAGTGGGTTTTGATCTGGGCTGCTGGTTTCTCAAGCCTCCCATCCACTGTACACCTAGATAAGATCCCCACCACTGGTACCATCTGGCTTGCCAATCATAGTTTTAACTCTTTAAACCCCATCGGACGCTGGGAACGTCCAGCAGTAATAACCCCGTTCTCCATCGGAGCTTCCCAAGCGTTCGATACTAGTGACAACATTTTCGTTTTATTTAGAGCTAGTTTTTGCTTGTTTTTCGGATCTATTCCCGAACCAAGTTTTTTAGTAATGACTAAGCATTTGTTTCCACCATTTAGAAGTTGGAGGCAAACTTTTAGGGTTATAATGAGACATAGTGCACCAGGTTTAGGTGACTGTAGGAAAAACTCTGGGAAACGGTGAAAAAAACTTAGTGTTTAAAGAGTTAAGACGTATGGTCGGACAGCACCTCTGCTAGAAAGACAAAGGGGACCCTGCCTTCATAGATATTCACTGAATATACCAATATACTTTTATGTCTGGAAATAGAATCGGAGAAGGCAAGGACACCTTAGCATCGCTGCGCTAACAAAATGGCACATCTCATTTTTGCTACTATTGAAATATAGGGAAAAAACTGTGTAACTAGATTGTTTATCATCTAATAATGGTAAAATGTGCCTTGAATCTTTCATTTGTGACTGCCAGCTCATTTTGTTTCAATTTTACCCAAAAAATAGATGTAGTACCACCAAACAAAATAGAAGGCTAGTTGCATTTTGGCACATTTTGCTTGCGTAGCGTCGTTATACTAGAGAACGCAAGAACCCTTTATTTAGCATGATTTCTTCTATCAGTATGGGTTAGGAGTCCACTCATCTGTCTACCTTTCGATATTTATCCTGGTGAACCTGCAACACAATCATTTAATATGTTTTTTTTCCCCTTTTCAGACACCTATTTCACTCCTGTGGTGTGTTTTTTACTCTTCAATGTTGGAGATTTCCTAGGCAGACTGGTTACCTTTGTCTTCAAGTTTGTAAGTACCTGCTATGGTGTAGATGGTTTTCCAGCCACGTGTTTTCTTAATGAATAAACTGTAGAAACTTTACTTTATAGACCTGTTTTTGCCAGACAAACAGAAACCAGTGAAGAAGCTAAACAAATCCAAGCCTAAAGTGCTGGTTGATCAGTGTAATTTTAGGCTGCTGTGAGAGGCACAGTTAAAACAGCCTGCCTTTTTTTTAAAAATCTGTATTGTCTTGATGGAGGTGGAAAATGCTCACATGGTGTATCTCTCATGAAATGGAAGATAAATTTCACATTATTTTTTCTTGTCGAAATTTTGCCCATCAAAGGAAATTATTAGATCTAATTCCTCCCAGCCTGACTCGGCCCAGTTACAGAAAGTCGGACAAGCTAAACCTATTTTTAGCCCGGTGTGTTATGATTACGAGAACAACAGACAGCACTGCCGATTTATTTATTTATTTACCACTTAAAAAAACTAAAAAGCAACAAATTATAATTATGGGAAAAATTGTTGGTAAGTTGGGAGGATGAGGAAAAAAAAAAAAAAGAAGCTGGGACTGGGATTCTAACCCACGCTCACAAAATAATGTTTGTCTTTAACACAGACACACTGTTCACTCGTCCATCAGAACTTTTATCAGCGAAGGGTAGATTAAGCTTCATATTTACAGCACTGTTTCTGGAAAGGCAAAGCGACATAATATATCGAGATGTAGATCTAGAATCTAGAATCTAGGCCTAGATCTAATCTAGATCTAGTGGACTGGCAGATAAGGTCTGGAGAAAACTGAAAATTGGCAGAAAATTGGAAGCACTAAACATTAGAATAAGAGAACGTAGATCTAAACACGTCTTTAGCTAGGTCTAACCTGGCCTATTGTTAGCTCTCCCAAGGACGAAATAATCTAGATCTAGATCTAGGTCAAGTGCTTTAACTCATTCGCTACGCCGAGCCGTGGGGGGCGGCGCGGCTCAAGTGCCGTCAGTACATTAAGCCGCCCCCGGCGGCTCGAGAACCGACGTTCAATTTTAGCTTGGTTTCTATTCCAATCCACTTATCCATGTTAAAATAAAGGTCATAATATAATGTTGACTTCCGGGTCAAGCGTTTCCACCGAAAATCGGAAGTTTTGATTCAGTTTTGAAACATGATTTCGTAGTTTATTCGACTTTGTTTTATCGCAAAGCCCAAATTATAGGCCAGACACCAGTCTTAGTACCTTTACACAACAAAATGTATAATTATTTTGCTCACTAAAGAAGTGTAGGACTCTTCTTTATAATATTGATATTATTGGACGCAAATTGCCGGTGCACTGTAATTGAGAAATCAATATTTTTGAGTGCTAGAACTAGGCCTAGATCTAAATATTCAAAATATTTTTTTCTCTCCAAAATCACTACTTTTGGGTGAAATTAATCAAAAAGTACCACTCAAGACATGTATAGGTTTATTCCAAGTGCAATTCTGAATAATTCCATATAAGTTACGCATATTTTTTTCTGTTTGTGATCCTTTTTTCAAAATTATTTTTTTTTAAAAATTTTTTTCAATATCGGATGTTATGATCCAAATGTACAAATATTATGGAATGTATGAAAATACGAAGTGGCTAGCCGTACTGCCAGTCTAGCCGTACTTAGATCTAGGTTTGGCCCTATCGACTCAAGCCTGTTAAGTACACAGGTCTCATTAGATTTAAATCTAGCAATTATTCAGGTTCAAATACATGCAAGCCAGTAAGACATCTTTTGGTTTTGTCTGAAATACAAATAATTTAGGCATAGCAAACTAAAAATTTCATTTACAATTCAGTCATCAATACATGTATTAAGTACGGCTAGCCTGACAGTCTAGCCGTCCTTAAGTACGGCTAGCCTAGCTGTCTACTCGTACTTAAGTACGGCTAGACTGGCAGTCTAGCCGTACTGTGTACTTTTCTTAGGCCCAATTAACATTAGAAAACAGGAGGTTTAAAATACATGCACTGTCATTAAGGCACCTGGTTTCGTCTCAAATACAAATACTTTAGGTACTGCACACTAAACATTTATACGTGTATTTACAATTCAGTAGGCCTTTTTTTTTTTTAATGGTCAGTCTAGCCATCATATTTAGAATAAGTAGGGCTAGACTGCAGGTCTAGCCGTACTTAAGTACGGCTAGCCTCTTCAATGAAAATAACTGCACATTTTTCAATATTTTCCTGTTCTATATACAGTTATGGTTATTTTGAGGTATCATTTGACTAGGTGCAAACATGTTTTTATAGTTTCACCTGAGATTATAAATTTTTTATTTTCCAATTTTATCCGCATCCAATCACAATTGTGTTGCATAATCGCCTCTTACAGGAACCAAAGTTGAAAAATACGCAAATAAATAATGCAGGTGTATTCTACAAACCATACTGAAAATGTTGGTATATAATATGTTGATATTTATTTGAATATATGGCCCCAAAGACCTGTGAACTGCGCACTAGTCATCATCTCGTTTCGCCCTCCCGAAAAGAATTCGTCCACAAGACGAAAATAATACGTAGCGAATGAGTTAATTTCATTTTTTGTGCTGTTTTTTTTTTTTAGCACAAATCTGCTATTGTACAACATATTATAATGAGATACAACTTTATTGATCATGTAAAGTGCAATGAAGAAACAAAAATGTACTTAATAAAGATGCAATTTCCTTCCAAAATGAGTCAAATCGAGACTTTCTTAGTCCCCTGTACGACTGACGAAAAAGCGTGCATGCAGGAAAATCGCGTAGTCAGGCAAAGGCAGTCAATGACTGACAAAAACAAGCTCATTTGCATGTGAGCTTGGCCTGCAAGTGACGAAAAAATGCAGTGGACGTGGGACCATATGTGCACAATCTGTACTTTTTCATTATGGAAACTTTGATTTTACAATGAGTGTTTTATATGATGTGATGTGGGCCAATGGCCTTAACACTTTGCAGTCATACAACCAGCAGTACAAAATACCCCATCTGGTCACCCAGCCTGGAGAGCGACTGCAACAGACTTCTTGGGCCTGGCACAGAACTGCCCCAGGTGACCAGAACAGATCATTTTCACCGGCGCATTATTGTGGCAAATAACCGCAAAGTGTTAAACACAGAATATGCTTACTTACTCACTTTAAGACTTTAGAAAATGTTCCCAGCTGTGACTTGTACAATGGTTTTGTGTTGTTCCCCAGCCAGGGCCCCATCGCCCACAACTCATGCTCTTCATGTGCATCCTGCGCATCGGCTTCATCCCCCTGCTCATGTTCTGCAACGCTCAGCCCCGCTACCACATGCCCGTGGTGTTTGACAACGACGCCTACCCCGTGGTCTTGATATTATTCATGGGACTGACCAACGGCTATCTCAGCACCCTGTGCATGTCTTTTGGCCCAATGTGAGTGATTTCGGTTGTGGAGGCGCTTATGTCAGATGGCTTGTTTTGTTATTAAAGTTTGTGGTTTTTTGCAGGGTTTATTACTATATGATGTGAGCTAGTTTGTTATTAATGCGTCAATGTTTGTGCTGTAGAATATACTTCTATTGTGATCCAGCTGTATATTCATTCAGGCCTACATAGTACATAAACATCTGAGGTTCAGCAGGTATAATTGGAATTAATTTTGCTAGTCTCTTCCTATCTATTTCAGTACAAATTGACCTATGTTGGAAATTGTCATTGCATACATTTGTGTCTTTTTGCATGGGATTCTCTATTCTTTTGTTACTTGTTGTGATTATGGACCATTCTAGCAGGGACTTGTTAAGTGGACTCCAGTGAAAAGAAATTCACAGCTGAAATTGACAGCAAATATAATGGCAATGGGTCCTTATCATTTTTTTTCTCTAATGTATTAATATAGTGTAAAACACATAGAACTTGCTGTCAAATGGGGATATGCGCTCTACAAATGCTATTTATTATTATTTTTATTCTTAATACTATTATTATCATTGTTGTTATTATTATGATGTCCCCAGAGATGTTCCAGACGAGCACGCCGAGGGTACTGGTATGATGCTGGCTCTAGCCATGACCATGGGACTAGCAGCAGGCTCTGGCCTCTCGTTCTTGTGCGTGTATTTACTGTAGAGAACAGCTGTCTGCTATGAAGGTACTTCCCATCGGGACAGTGCCAAAAGAACAGCAATTGTCTTTCAAAATATTTCTTACAGGACATTTCCACTGGAGCAATAGTTGTCTTTCAACAAGTTTCTTTCTTTCAACTTATTTCAAGTGAACTGCTGTCATCTTTATGGACATTTTTTCAAGGCTACATTGATCTAAGGAGGTCATTCCAGCAGATGGCAACTGAATATCTATGAGAATGGCAGTCATCTTTAGGGAGGTGTCCCACCAGAGGACAGCTGATCGGTCTTGGTGTATCATCTTGAAAACAAGAATGGGTAGTCATTTACTGTACTAAATTACAGTAACTGAAATTTATTTTATTCCTTTTACTTTTACACCATTCTTATGACGTAGAGCTCGGGGCCATAATCGTTTTGCTGGGAATGACACCCTGAACATGCACAAAAAGAAAACTGTTGGACGTAGCTCACTGACTGCCGTTACCGGAGTGTATCCAGGATGAGATTATGTAATAAAATTGCCGAACCCGGAGGCCCTCCTGTATGGACTTAATAATTTTGTTCCATATTCATCCCGGACTGCAACCGGGTCTGGCAGTTTACAGCAGTTAGGGAAGCCATTTCAACGTTATAAATTACGCCGCAATATTTTTGATGCGTTAGCGGACGGATGTGATGATGAGCCTTTTCATGGTGTTGGATCAGACATTGAAATAGGTGAATTAGATGAAGATAGCTATGCTGACCCATCATTTTGTGTTCGGGAAGGTAAAAGAAGGCAAAGATTACCTGATTCTAGTGCTAGTACTAGTGTGCCAGGATCTAGATCTAGTCCTAGATCTAAATCTAGTACAAAGAAGAACTATCATATCTAAGGTAAACCATAACAAAAGTGGTGGTGTTTCTATCTGTTGTGTTTGTTTGATTATTATTTGTGTCCAAAACAATATAAAACACAACACAACTAGCCTAAACAAACAACTATGAACAACGACATGTTAATTTCACGTTTTTATTTTTTGTCAAAAATTTACCATTTTTCAAAAAATCGTTTAAAAAACACAAACTACAGCATATATTGGAAAGATATTTGGCATGAGTACACTAAAGCATGTAAATATGTAAATGCACAGCACACAAAAGTTCAAATCCTTAAGAACAATAGTTTTTGAGTTACGGGTTTTTTTGTGTGTGTGTGAAAACGCTCTAAAAACCTCGGCAGACCACCACTGTTGAGGCTCCATACTCCATGGGCCTGGCAGTCAGTGAGTTAAAGTGCTGCGTTGTGAATACACACGATCAGCGCCCCATGGTAATTTTCTTGTCAGTGTAGTAGTAGTAGTAAATACAACATCAATAACTAAGTGTAAACACACTTTTTAATGGAGATTACTTGAGATCTCTTCTGTCCTTTGGTTCTTGCTGTGATTTATGTTTTATTGGTTGTTGTTTTTTTTAGGCAAGTGTATTGTACTTAACGGCTTTGCAGCTGAATAGACAGTTTCCTGACACAGCATTATATTGTAGTAGGCCTACTTAGAAAAAGAGCACAAGAAAACTCTAGCCCATCAGAACTTCCAGGCTGTGGTCAGTCTGTGGTCACTGATTCTTCATTGACGTAAGACTGCTAATTTGTCCTATTACAGCCTCTGACTGGCATCTGTGGTGTAATGGTTAGGCACTTTGCCATTTCATGCAGGAGACCCGTGTTCAATTCCCAAGTTGGGAGAATTTTTTTAACAAGTCGTAGTTTCTCGGTCTTTCTTATGGGATGTTGTATCTCTCTTAGTCTTAGCTCTGGTTTGCAGGGTTGAAGCCCACCTCCTAAATGGACTAGACTCAAAAAAAGAGTTTAAATTTTGAGCTGCCCCTTTCGTAAACGCTTTTTAGATTTTAGACAGTTATACACATATTTTCTTTATGTTAAAAGGGGCTAAAATATTTTTCAGTTTTCATGGAGTACATATTTTACCCTTTTTGATGTGTGACAATGCTTTTTAGAGAAAAATTTCAAACCTGATACCCATCGACAATTTTATTGGGATGAGTAATAGATTATTTTACTTTCTTAGCTAACCTAAAGTACTCTTTTTTTTGGGGGGGTGGGTATGAAAGTTACACTGCTGGAGAAGTTCTTTTGGCCAGAAGTGAGATGTAAGACTTAAATATTTTTCCCAGATGGTTTAGAGAATGTGTTTTTGTCCTTGCTTAGTATCTTGACGCCTTCCTAGAGGACAACAGCCACAAACACAAACTCAAGGTCATAGACATCATACGTAAGAGCATAGTAAATAGTGCAGTTTTGTCCTTTATAAAGCTGACAACCAGATGAGATTATCCAATATTTTCATACGTAAATGCGCATCTCATTGTAGTGTGTACATTTTGTTATTCATATGATTACATACCGGTAAATATGCACCCCGTTTACCGGTATACAATGATGTGAATAACAGTTGTCCACAGAACAACTGCAATGAGTTGCACATTATTTGATTTTCATTATATTACACTTACTGGCATTTGGTTTGTGACTGTGGTCTATATGTGTAAGCTGGAGAGTGTCTGTATCTAGTTTTGAGACAGCTTGTACTTGTACAGTAAGTAGTGTCTTGCACTTGTACAAATCTCTATTTTTTCAAGCACACACAAAGGACTGCTTTGTATCTGGGTGGTTGGAGGGCACCCTCTACTGTCTCCATGCTGCGTTCATGTCTCTTTTGTCTGACTTGCTTCTTCCCCGCAGGAACTGAATGACTGTTATTTTTTTAATGCTCTTGATGTTTACTCAAACTCATATTAAGGCGTGTTATTTGTGGGTCTCTATTTCTGTGACCATACACATATGTGAACATATTTGCAACTCTCTGAGGCAGGGTTTCTTGGAAAGAGTGTGTTCTTGTGTACAGCCCATTTGTGACAGCGAAAGGATATCTGTTGATACAAGTGCTTATCCATACACACCTTTGTGAGACAATAGTAACTGTCTGAGACAGTGTGTGTTTTGAACAGTTTTGTCATGTACATGTTCATGCCATGACATAATGTACAAAGAAAATACTTAAATTAGGGAATATTTGTGATGTCCTCATAAAAGTTTTGTGACCATGTCATGGGAAATAGCTAGCCCTCTGATATGTAGTGGATACAATTCTTTTTTGTTTCTTTCTTTCTTTCTTTTTCTTTCTTTCTTTCTTTTTTTTTTAGTTGATAAAATTCTATGAGCTGTATTATGTATGTGTGTTGAAAAATGTTAGTTATTGGAGTGAAGTGTACTGAGGTAGTGATGCAAAGTAATGGAATTTAAGTCCTGATTTTTCAAAGACCCTAGCTGATATTTCATAAGGGGACATTTCGGTACTTAGATGATTCGTTTGATTGGAAGTCATATTGTGTATATTGCAAAATAGATAATAAAGGCTATTCAGTCAATCTTGGATCTTGCAGAGTCCCTCCCATGTTTACTCAACCAGCTTTAAAATATTTCTCGTACAGATCTCCTTTTTGAAAGTGACACTGCTGCTGCTGGAAAAAAATGTTGTAACACATTTCTGAATCTTGATTTTCTGTCCCTATGATAAGTCTAAATTCATTGTTTTGCGTACATTTATGATTGCTCCTTGTTTTTCTGCGCTCTTTCACCACTTACTGTTTATGATGAGTATAGATCTATGGCTACTAAGAGCAGTTTGTCAAAATGCAAAAACAGCATTGGTACAATTTTCACAGCTCCTTCATATTTTTGTGCTGGTTGTATTATTTTGAGATGTGATTTTCCTGTTATTGTAAGTGCAATGGAAAGTAATTTGGTAAGATTGATTTCAGAGACATCTATTGTTAAGAAGATTCATTTCATTTCAGATGGGTTTTTTTATGTCTTTAAGAATTCTGAAAATGGTCATGGAACTGAAACTAGAAAAAGCTTTAAAATTTTTTTACGAGGATCCTTTTAAGTGGATAATGTGCTACCTCCTCCAAAAGTAGACATATTTCAGAATTTAAAAAAAAAAGACCATACATGCTTGATAATAAGAATTAAAGAAGAACATTAGGCATGTCTCAGGGCTGCCTATCATTTTAAAGTTAGCAGAATCATTACTATATTTTTGTTGTTGCAATTTTACACAAATACGGTTGTAACACCTCTGATTCCAATTTTTAAAATCTATTTGCCATTCGTGCAACCACCCCAATCCATCCCTAGCCTCTCGGGTATAAGAAAAAGAGACCCTGACAGTCTGCATTACTATGTCACGGGCAGCAAATGTAACACTCTTTATGCTCTGAGCACTTGTACTTGTAGTCACGCGTGCCACTTCGACCATAGAAAAACATTAGAGGGCCAGAGACAGGAGTAAGGCGAACATTAGTGTGACAAGGGGTTACAAAATCCACATGCTTTGTGTTGTAGGTGACGTTGGCCTAGTAGTAGTAGTGATGCACAATTAGGGTCAAAGGCATTTAACGAGTCCTGTCAGTTTCTTTTATTTTTGCAAGGTTCAAGGTAATATAACATAACTACCCCCCCCCCCACCCCTTTCTTTTCCAAAATGGACTCCGGCCATATTGTTAGTTTTTAACCCTGATTACAAATTTTTTTATTGTTGATTCCTAAAGCACGGGCTAGGGCTGGGAAGCCGTGACTTTTGTGCCTGTCCTACAAGTGTCTATACATTGTCTCTTGGCTGCCAGGGAGTTTATAAGTCCTTTTTGAGACGTGATTCCCTGAGAATGGGACTTGACCTCTTCCAATGGGAATGCTCCTCTCCTGTAGCACCTATTATAAATGGTTTTGTTTGATCACCTCAGGGCTTGGGTTTTTTGGTGTACTGAAACTGAATTGTGTATTATATTGTCTTCAGATATTGTGAATGACTTCTTAATATATTTTGTAGCACACATTTATGTTCAAGGGTTCTTCTTGTTCCTATCAACCGTAATTATGCCTTGTATTCTGTCAATAGGCAATGTAATATAAGTAATATACATGTCTCTTTTTTTAAAGTCATACTGATACAGGGTCAAAGTTTGTTTTTTTAAATCAGCGCTTTTTTTTCAATATAAGATTTTGTCCTACTATCTTCCATTTCTGTTTTAGTCGCAGTTAATGTGTGGGTGTTCTGGTGCGGTTTCCTCCTTAGCTGTCAAATAACTATGGTCTTTATCTCTCCTCCTCCATTTTTATGTTTGTTACTCTCTTGTAACACCTCTAATCTTCGGCACTTATATGACCGAAGTGTGTTGCAAGTACTGCAAGTGCCATAAACCTTACTTTAAAAAAAAATAAATAAATAAACAGTGTGATTATTTTTTAAAAAGAGCTTAATAATAATAATAATAGATAGCATTTGTATAGCGCATATCCCCGCTCAGCAGCAGGCTCTATGCGCTTTACACTATATTAGCTTAGAAGGATGGCCCTGGACAGAGATAAATGGAAGGACCTTTATGTGGCCTATACCCTGCCAGGGGTGGAAGGCATTGATAATGATGATGATTATGAAATGATAACAGATGCAATTTATATTTTTTATTATCATTATTCATTTTCTTAAAAATGAACGTCTGAATTTCACTCCATTTCATTGTGAAATTGCTATGGCTTGTTTTAGGTTTACCACCAATAGATGCTATACTTCTCCTGTCCCTGTAAGTCAGCAAAAAAGTTTAATGGATTTGCTTCTCAAAATCATCATAAAAATGCTCAAAGGGGGAAATTCTTTTATTTATTTTCATTGGTATTATTCTATTGCTTCATTCACCACTCAAAAATTTTATTCCATATTATGTTTCACTCTGGACCCATTCACATGTCATATATATCTGTCCTCTCTGTGGAAGGTTCTCCAAGAGTTTGGGGACGGACCCTGTCTTTTTAGATGTGCATCCCGCGCCCTCCCATTACAATTCACATCCTCATAGAGTTAGTGAGACATTTTTAAATTAAGATCTGAGGAGAGCTTCTGGTGGTATCCTATATCAGAGTCTGTGTTTGCCTGTGGTTATGATATTTTTTCGTCGGTGTGAAATGATTGTTCTGTTTTATGATTCCATTTTTTTTTCATTTGATATTAGTTTTTACACATTCTGTGAAGGATATTTCATTTTCGTAGACACATATATATGATACCTGTGACATTATTTCACTCAATAATTTGTTTATAAATGTATGTGTAATTCATTATGTGGCTAATTCGTTCCAATTTGAGTTGATTACATTGCACCGTGTGTCCTATAAAAGGAGGACCTATTTAAAAGGTAAATTAACTTAGTCATCTTTGCCCTAAATTTGATGAAAACTTTAAACAAAAGGACGCCAAATTTGCCAATCAGTATAAAGAAAATCAACCAACTTGTTAAAAAAATATAAAACATCTATCTTCTTTATCTTTCCTCTTTTTTGTGTTAATTACTCTTGTAACATCTCTAATCTCCAGCACTTGTATGACTTTGTGTTGCAAATGCAATTTAACTCCCGCTAAAACAAAAACATCTTTCAGTCATTATTTATATCAGTAACGCACATTTTTCATGATAGCAGAGAAGAGAAAACTTACATTGCCTGGCAACCAAACTGAACGCCAGATTGTAGCAGAGATCGACAAGAAATTCTGCTTTGAGTCGAAATTTATAAGAGATTTGGTATCCACAACTCAATAGCAACGCCTTCCCCACGTTCCTAAAAAAAAAATGAAGATGACATTGAAAACACCAGCAATGGATG